TCCATTGTATAGTCCTGACCTTGCACCCTCAGATTTTCACCTGTTTCGGTCTCTTCAGAATTATTTGGGTAGCGTTAGGTTAACATCAAGAAATGACTGTCAAAACTACATATCGTATTTTATTGATCAAAAATCCCAAGATTTCTACAGCAACGAGATTATATCATTACCTACAAGATAGCAACAAATTATCGAACAAAATGACACATATATATTACAATTGAATGTAATTAAACTTTGAAATAAAATATGTCTTGAACTTGTATATGAAATGCGAAGAAACTTTTTCCTCGACCAAATATTACTCTTATTAGTATATACTCTTCGGTTTATATATTTATGACGTATGGTGATAATATAGGAATCAAATATTTTAAGTTTTATTTTTCGAAGTATGAGATTAAGAGAGAAATAAAAGAACTCTAGCTGCCAGTAAATGCAACTTTGAATTTCTAAGATCCGTTTATTACATCAGTCCAGAGCTATAAAAGTTGGCCTCAGAATGAGAGATAGAGAGATATGTGGAAAAAAAATCCGATATAAAAATATATTTTCGGCCGGATGGCTTTGATGAAGAACGCAATTCAACCACAAGTTTCAATTCAAACACGCTTTTACAATATATTACAATTAGTGAATCTGAAACCGGCACTGTTTTCAAATTCACTAATTGTTTATAAAATTAATTTATTAAATAAAAATTAAATTTAAAGCAACATTAAATTTATAACTATCATTATTTATACTATATAAAGACATAGGTTAACGAATATTCTATATGGAGGTTTGCAACGACATATTTTTGGTAGACGTCGTCGTTCTTTATCCACATCAGCCCGAAGGACTCCATTGACAGACACAAGTCACTCCTCTTGTATAGAGGATTTGTATTAATTGTCGTGATTGGTAGGGTATTATTGATCGCCGTGATCGTTATTTCGCATCTTTGTCACTGCACGTCATTGGTCCCGTAGTAGTCTTAGATTGCTCTACATATTTTACATCTGGCGTAAACGAGATGCTTATATCGTTTTACGTTATCCACTAAATTAATAACTGATGGATTCATAAATGAGTGAAATTTATAAAATTATTCGATGACAAAGATTCATAATCCGTGTAATCCGTGATCCGTGTATTGGCGGTGTAAGAATATCCACTATCCCATATCATCCCATGGGTGTCCGTAAGAGGCGACAGAGGGAAACAAATTAGGAGATGGGCAGCAGATTCTTCCTAATAACGACTAAATATAAAAAACTGCGATTTCCAACTCGCTTGCCAAGCGTGGCAACTATGGCAAATATCCCCCCTGTGAGGCAATCTACGGAGGAGGCCTATGTTCAGCAATGGACTTTAATAGGCTGTATCGGTAACGGTAAAAATCCATTAACTCTGATGAGCCCTAGATCTTTAAAGTTGTTCTCCGGTACGTCGGCCCGTGTTGCTTTATGATTTCAAGCCCTAGAATGTATCCTATGTGACTTTTGCACGTAATTAAAAAGGAAATTTTACATTATTGATGCCCATTTCCGAAAGCACCGAATCGAAAATTTATTTTGAATTCCTGGTTCTTTCATTGCTACGAAAGAAATTCCTATGCTTCCGGGACAGGGATTTCCGGGTTCTGAAGCCTTATCCCTATGTTATTGTAATAGAACTGGCTTTTTTCATGACATACAATTTGGGTCTTCCTATACCCGAATGCTAAAATTCATCACGGGAACTTATTTTATAATGTACTTTTACAACTTAGGGAATATGACAAATAATTCCTACAAAGAGAAAGGATCATCCAGCAGTGGACTGTAACGGGATGGTGAAGAAGATGGCATTCCATCTTAGTCCTCAAGGCTGATAACGCATCTGCATTTTGATTCGCAAACGAGGAGAGATGTAGATGTATATACTTCACTACCACACTAGCCATTAAATATAATATTATATGTAGCGTATCAATTTTATTTAATTAATTAAATAATTCAATATATATGTATTTTATTTTTTGTATGTATATATGTTTGTAGTATGTATGTATATATATGTATGTATATATGTATATATATATATATATATGTGTGTGTGTGTGTGTTAATTCTTTTTTTTACCTCTTTTTTTCCCTATCACACCAATTTGCCCTGCCCTTGTCATATTCGTGCAATCCTGTCCATTCATTGGTTGTCTGGAAGAAATTGCTATCAGCAATAAGTCCGCCTATTGCATACTTCTTTTATATATTATATAATTTCTGTAATTTATGTATGGTGTGCAATAAAGAATATTAAATAAATAATAGTAGTCGAGATGAGCAACAATTCAAATTTATCATAAAAGGTATTAAAATAGGTACATTAAGAACAACACGTTTATCTTGTCCATTATTACGTGGTAGAGCCAAGCTACAGCTATATTTATAGTATAGTTGTAGCACGAATGGGTCGGCTCGACCGGGGAAGGACCACGCTCTCACAGAATACCAGCGTAAAATAGCAGCCTAATGCTCCTGTGTTTCGTATGGTGAGTGTAGAGAACCGGAGAACCTTTTTACTGGAAAAGAGGCATTCCATCTTAGTCCTTAAGGCTGACAACGCATCTGCATTTTGATTCGCAAACGAGGAGAGATCTATGGATCTCAGCAACCACTTACCATCAGGTGGACTGTGTGCTCGTTTATCACCCTATTTCTACAAAAAAAAGCTTCTTTCCAAATAAATTGTCTTTCCTCCAAGCTCAAATTTCATAAGTAATTTCTTGACGATCCCTAGGGCAGATACTGTTCAATTTTGTGTTTGTTGTTTTATTTTATAACCTCGCGAACTGTGGCGAAGGTAAAGTATATGCCGGATCCAATTACGTAGTTTTGGATGGAGTTTTGTTTTATGATCCCGTAAATCTAATGGAAATTACTTCTTTATTAATTTATCAAAGTTTACTTTTGGTTTGAAAATATAAAACAGTTCCGTGTAATAATTTTTTAAATAACTAGGCTTGACAAAATAAAAACCGCTCTGATGTAATTTTTCATTAAATATAGAGATCTTGTTGCTACGAGTAGATTTTTCCCTGCTGCTTTTGGTTAACACGGTGTCTCTGATAGTGAACAAATATCCTGAAGTTATTTAAAATATTGTCAGAATCGTTTGTCTTGCTATTATGTTGCAGAAGCTAGCTGAATTAAATTTTGTGACACTACTACTTTGATATAAGCTCATGTAGTACGAACTGCATGTTTTTCTTTTCATTCCAATTATCTGATCATCTTTATTTTGTTGAGGAAGTTAAGCATGTAATAAGTAATCATGTTATACGGTTTACTATACAAACTGCTTTAAAGTTTAATCGAATTTTGTATATATAATGTTTAATATTTTAATATTTGTAGAAGCATTTATAGCAAGTAACTGTGCATTGATTTTTTAATGAATTGTGGTAAAGTCAAGCGATAAGGACTCTTTTTAAAATTTCATAGTAGGTACGCGACTAAATGTTGGCACTGATGGATTTGTTAATTGCAATTTCAAGTATTGATCACCACGTGTTCGGTGCCGTAGATAAACGTCATGAAATCCTGTATGTCTTAGACATTAAAAAAATTTAAAGACATGTAAAGTGTCGTGTAGTTACGGTGTAAGATTATCTATCACCCCATATATACTGTGGGTGCCGTATGAGGCGACAGGGGAAACTTGTCAGAAGATGGGCAGCAGCATCTGTCTAATAATACTTCGATAATTAAAAAAACTGCGGTTACAAACCCGCAGTGTGGCAACTATATCAATATACCCCTATTGCAAAATATCCTATTGCTATGGGGGGTCCTATTTAGTAGCAGACTTTGTTATGCTGTTATTAATGGATGAATGAAAGAACGTAAAGTGCGCTATGTAGTGGCGGCGTAGAGATCCTACTACTCCATATCGTTCCGTGGGTGTTTTTAGTGTCGTACAGAAAGAAACTTAAACAGGAGAAAGGCAGCAGCATCTTATTAATGAAAACTCAATAATAATAATAATAATAAAAAGCTGTGCTTCTAGCTCGCCTACCAGGCGTGGCACCTATAGCAATTAACTCACAATGAGGCAATCTATGGGGTAGACGATAGTTTAGCAATGGATTTTTAAGAGTTGTATTAATTAGTGAATAAAAAAAAACATGTTTGCAGTTAGTTCACAAACGGTAGAAATGAAATCTTCAAATGAAATGAAATACAAAATTAAAATATTTCACGGCAAATGATTTATTTGATATGACCATTATCCGCCACAAGTGAGGCACACGAGGCCGTGCGGTGTACTTTTCCTTCCTTTATTGTAGAGATACAATATTAGAAAGGAGAGGAAGCCAGTGTACAGCAGAAGAATGTGTTTTACCTTGACACTAGTCTACTAGCTAAATGTTCACTTTACTTATGGAAGTTAGTGTTAATGTCAAGGTTACTTCGTCGTAAAATATGCTAATTTCAATGATAGGTTGAAAATAGATCCACGAAACAGTTAAAATTTCAAAAAATAAATTTCACACACACACGACGAGCGGTACGCTACTGCTAGAAGTAGTTATACTTCATAACTTTGTAAAAAGTATCGTATGTTCTATGAAACAATGACTAAAGACAACACCAGCAAGTTTTTTTGGCCTTAGTGATGACTTACTCCCTCGCATACGTCAAGTTTAACTTACATATTGGCGACGGACAGCAACGCTATAATGTGAGACGCCGATCTATCAACCACTCGTATAGATTTCAGCAAATTTTAAGTTCGGGAGATCATAAACATATAAAAATATATAGAAATATTATTATAAGTTACATATAAAACTATATACAAACATTTTTATATGTTTAAATATTTATAATATTTTTATATGTTTTATACAAATATTTTTATATGTTACAGGAATTATATACCCCCTAAAGTTACAGCAATTATTGAAACAAACAAATTAATGTAGATAATAAATATTATTAGTGAACAAAATAATAAACTTTCCTTGATTAACTACTTTTTTCGCTCGGTCGTCTTGTTTTCAGCTTGTATTGGCATAGGAAAATGCACAGGAGTTCCATCACCCAGTCTTTTTGCTATTCCGTTAATCATTTCAGGCGTCGCTTCACGGAGATCATATGCCCATCCAATTTTTTTAAAAATGTGTATAAACGTAGTGCATAAATTAAATGTATCAAAATGTTCGGCAGCTTTATAATCAAAAGGGAAAGCATGGTGGTAATTATGCCATCCCTCTCCAAATGTGCATGTCGCAACAAAACGGTTTTCTCTCGGGACTATATTCCTAAAAAGGAGGAAGTAAAAAAATTGCGTCAGAAGAATTTACACTGCTATCACTAATATTGTAGTATTTATTACTTAACGAATAATAATGCCGATTATAACGAATATTTATATGAATAACGATAATGACTGCCTTGTTAGTCTAGTGGTTGTAGTAGTGCGACTGCTGATCATGAGGTTACGGGTTCGAATCCCGGGTCGAGCCAAAAATCAGTTATTAAGCTTTCTATCAAGAAATTTTTAGTAGTTGCCCGGAGTCAGGAAGTTAGCATTATCTCAACCCCGTGCCTCGGAAAGCACGTAAAGCCGTTGATCCTGCGCCTGATCTCTCCTGGTTGTGTTGATTTACTGTACCATTGGACTATGAGAGTGAGGGAATAGAGAGTGCACATGTGCTTGCGCATACACTCGGGCACTATAATCCTGTCCTGCGCCGATGGCTAGTCTCCGTTGAGGCTGGCCGCCGTGACCGAAATTCGGTCGGAATGACATTATTATTATTAATGAAGAGTACAATCTATTCAAATAAAACTGAAGTGCCAGTTTCTAATGTCAAAATAACAGCTTTTTACTAAATGCATATGAAAGTAGCATTGTTTTCTTGTTTAAGTAACGGTACTTAAACAAGAAAACAATTTTAAAAATTTTTGTCTGTCTGTTCGTTCTGGTTAATCTCCAAAATGACTAGACAAATTTTGATGGGACTTTCACTGGCAGATAACTGATGTTATAAGGAGAAACTATGGCTACTTTTATTTTAGAAATAGAATTACAGCTCCGTGCAAAAATAATAAAATTCATGCAATCCAATCGTAATAAATTAGAGATACAGCTAGTATAAATAATAATAATAAACCATAAAGTTTATTTTTAGGGAAAAATATAAGGTACATAGTGAGAAAGTTCGAATAGACTTACTTTAATTGACTATAATAAATAAAAGTTTTTTCCAGTTTATATTTTGTAATTAAAGTTTTAACTAGTTAGTAGGATTCTTTTTCAGCCAGTACCTGCAATGCTGTGTTCCGGTCTGAAGCATAGAGAGCCACTATAATTAAAGGCCGAGGCATTTCATCTAGTTCTCACAGGTAACAACGAACCTGTTCCTTGTTTGAAGTTGACCATCAGGTGGAATGTAAGCTCATTTGTCACTTCAGGTTTATAAAAAAAATTCAGCAATTGAAATTATCATAAAATTATATGCACAATAACAGTGACCATAATTATATATAACAGCATCATAATCTATTAATAAAATTTTACGTGATCTTTATTATCGTATATATTTATCGTCCAATTTATTTAATTTATTTATTTAATTTATTAAGAACAATAATATAATATAATCAATAATTTATCATACATACTTATTATAAGGTCTGTATCCATAGGCATGTGCTAAGCTATTAACTGTGAGTTCACTGTGGAACATGCTCAGGAATCGTATGAAGCATTGCCAAGCCACAGCGCAGCGCCAGTTCTCTCCCCACAACCATATAGTCATTGCAGTTGGTATTACGTAGCAAAACATTATCTTGAAGTAATTGAAGTACCTAAGAAAACATTGTCTTGAAGTAATTGAAGTATAAGGGAGAATAAGTTATCTTTTATTTTGATTGACGAATGAGCTCCTACTGATTGGTAGGGGAAGTTATATTTCAGACAATAACGGGAAGCAGCATTACTTGTAAGAGGACTCTTGGCTCAGCGCATTAACCCATATCTTATCAGCGTGGTGAATATGGACAAACTAATAGAGGCAGAGAAAAGTTTGCGACGATAACTATTAATGTGTAGGCAAATTTCAGATGTCACAAAAATTTGTTTTATTTCTCATGCAAGTTTCCTCGTCATATTTCCTATTTCTTTCACCGCTGAGTACATACGAACCACTACATGCGTTATTAATTATTGTAGTCTATTAAAAGGAGAACATTTTTAGTCGACTCTCAGACTTTAATCCTTTCAAATTTCAAATTATGTGTGGGGCTTTTAAAAATGTATTTTGAGACATTTTCAAAAAAGTTTAGTAATGGACTTTAAATATTATCAATATATAATTATCTACATGAGTAGTTAAGATTTATGAGAAGTTAAGTTTAGTATGAAGTTAATTAGAAGTTAAGTTTAGTATTCAAACTTAATAAACCGGTTTATTTTGTTGAATAAAAAAAAAAGATGTGCCCCCATTAAATGGACAGAAGTCTAATACCGCAGTCCCCCCTTCCCCCCTGTGGCCGTGCGTGCTGTAAAGCGCAAACGTGAATTAAACTGGAATTACAAAAGTTAAAATAAAAAAATAAAATTATTAAAATTAGTTTTATAACCCATAAACCAAAATTTTAATGCATTAGGCAATTATTATCACATAAACCAAAGTTCTAATGCTTACTTGTTGTAAAGTCTAAGCACAGGATCCGCTTCAATATCACTCATGTCCATTTGTTGGCCACGGAGAATTACTTCAGAATTTTTTTTCATCATTAGCCATCCTATGTGAGAAAAGAAAAGACCTCTGTTTGCGTTGTGAGGGTCGGCCTCTGTGTCGCTGTATTTGTGATGGACTCGATGATCGCGCACCCATTGGTATAAAGAATTCTAAAATGAAAATTGCATATTATGAACACTTTCCAGTTTCATGAGGTAATACGAGGGCGGCACTGAAAATTTCGGGAATCAAGGAAGTGACACAATATTGCTATTTAAAAATGTATTTATTGCTTTTCGAAGTATTCTCCGCGAAATTTGACACATTTTTCCATACGATGGAACCAATAATTGAAGAAACCATTCCATTCGGAAGTTGGGGTCTCCAAAATGGCCGTTTTGTAGGCGTCCACAGCTTCTTCAGGTGATGAAAATCTCTGTCCACGCAATTTATTCTTTATTTTAGGGAAAGTATAGAAATCATTAAGGCTTAAGTCGGGGCTGTACGGCGGAAGATCTAATAATTCTATGTTTTATTGCTCTAAAAACTTTGTCCCTCAAGAGGAATAGTCGTAACATGGCCGGTTTTGAAGACAAACGTGGCCACCATTTTTTTGCAACACTCCGTGAACGAACAATTTTTGTTGGCTTTCACTCATTTTCGAACACCCAAACTCGTGACTGGTTTTTTGTTTCGGGCTCGTACGCGTATATCCAGGATTCGTCACCTGATACGATGTTGTATACAGCATTTGAGGATCCTGCGTGGAATCTTTCAAGAGTTCTGACGCACCAAGTAACGCGAGCCGCTTTTCGCTCTTCACAGAGCGAATGCGGTATCCATCGGGGAAACAACTTTTTTACACCTAATTGTTCATGCAAGATTATTTGTATTTGACTCATGCCAATGTCTAAAGATGCCTGAATTTCGCGGTATGTCACATGTCGATCTTCCTCAATCAGCTAACGCACAGCATCAACGTTTTCTTGGGTGACTGCAGTTTTTGGACGACCTTGACGGGGATCATCACTGAGCTTGACATGTCCACGTTGAAATTCAGCAAACTAGCGATAAATTGTGGTTTTGGATGGGGCTTCATCACCAAATGCAGAAATCATGCGGTCAACACACTGTTTTTGTGTTAAACCACTTCGAAAGTCATAATAAATCATCGCTCTTGAATTTTTTCGAGTCAATTCCATTTTCTCAACGACTAAACAAGTTTGACAAAACCTTGTGACAAGACCGAGAATCTTTTTTGAAATAAATAAATGGTATACGATTTTTAAAACCAGGGGGTTTTCAATTAAAAAGATTTTAATATGACAGGAACAGTGGAAATATTCCATTCCCGATACTTTTAGTGCAGTAAAAACATTAATTAGATCATAAGAAATAAAACACTAACGATGTTATTATAAAACCTCTTATAGGTTTATAACGTTGAAATCCTATAACGGCATAAGTAAAGTTACATGATAAGGTAAATATGAATTTTTTTTAAAAATAAAACTGAAGTGATATAATATATTACTAGTGTTCTAGCCTCAGATCATAGAAATTCTATGATCTGAGGTTCTAGCCCATATGGCTCTACAGCTAGGTTCTTAGAGCGCTATACATACTTTAAAGCTTTGATCGAAAACCAACCAAGCCGCCAAGTCGTGCAAAAAGGTATTTCGGAAAGCTGGTTTCGACCGCAATAAACACATCGGTGCAAAGCTTTCTGTCAAACCATCTGGCAATAGATCTTCTTGGTCTTTCGTTAAAGCGGTCGAGATAAACTTCTGCCGGTCTACACTGCCTCCGCTGGTAAAACCAGGTTCATTGGCGCTTATGAGAACACTTAAGAGAAGGCGGACTTATTTGCTTTCTTTTTGCTTGCAATTCGCATCTGAACAGTAGCAATAGCATACCAATTCAATTACCTCACTGCGGTACCTCTATGTCAGAGGTCCGTATCACCAACAAGGAGGTTCTTAAAACCTTGCTAAGTCTAGACGTGAACAAAGTTAGTGGACCTGATGGTATACCAGCTGTAGTTCTAAAGGTCTATGGGCCTGAATTATCTCCTGTATTGACGCGCTTGTTCCGCCTCTCATTCGGGACTCGAATAGTGCCCAAATCTTGGAAGCTATTTAAGGTGCAGCCTATGCCTAAAAAAGACAGCCATGTCGACCCTGCCATCTATCGGCCAATTTTAATTAACTCCATACTCTGCAAGATTATGAAGTGTATTTTGAACACAAGCTTTTTGGCAACCTTCCAGCGACTAATTGCCTGGCCTGATTAACTGGGTGAAGGATTTTATGAGTGAACGATCTCTTTGAGTCGTCGTCGATGGCTGTTCGTCCAATCCTATAACGACAAACACCGAACTTCCTCAGGGGCCCGTTTTCTCCGAAACTCTTAATGCTGCTTATTAATGATTACTACTTATTTCCAGTATCTATGGGTATGCAGACGACAGCACAGTTGTGGAGAGGTACCATCTGAATGCTCAGGTCAGTCAGGATCAAATCCGGTCCGAAAGAGAAGCTATGATTGAGCGTACAGATCCCTCACTGCAGGCAGTCTCTCATTGGGGCAATGTCAATCTCGTGAGACTTCTAAAACACAAGCGTGTCTTTTCACTGCTAAAAAGAGGCTACTCACACTGGCTCCTACTTTATGGAATGTATCCTTGAATTACACTGACCGCCTTTAGTTGTTAGAGGTTGAGAATTCTCCGAACCTCATATGGAGGTGTCCTTGCAAGGATGCGGCGGTACTTCTTATCGGTACAGCTTATTACCTTATAAATTCCGGTCGTGCATGGAGTACGGCTATCACATATGGGTTGGTGCTGTAAAATGCCATCTAGCAAGGTTAAGTTTAGTGGAAAGACGTGCTAAGAGGCTTATTGGCAATCCTAATTTAGTTGAATGAAACCAACTCTGTTAGTCTCGAGCAAAGGCGCAGAGTAGCCAGCTTCTCGGTATTCTATAAGATGCATTTTGAAGATTGTGCGAAATTACATGCTTTAATTCCTCCCACTCCTTTCACCATCGGAAAACCAGGCGGTCGGCGGGTTCTCACCCCTTTGTTGTCGATATTCCACGCTTCCACGCGCAAATGGTTTGCTTCGTCTTTTGTAATGCGTACAGCAAGGGGGGTGGAGTTGGAGGCCGTGGAGGAAGGCGTATATTGTGTTCCTGATGCGCCTTTCCTGAGAAGGAGAATGCGGAGGAGAAGTCCTCCCCCGAGAAGGGGCTGCCATGGGGTGGCCAGCGCTGGTGAGGCCGCGGATGTGTGCGAAAGCGTTCCCGTGGACCTGACAATATGCGGCAAATGTGGAACACCACGGGGTTTTAGTCAGTGCGAGTCCGACATAACCCGCCCTTGCCCCCGCGAGGCGGGTATGCGTAGGCATTTCCCCATGTAAAAAAGGTCACATTTAGGAGAGATATAAGATAGGACGGACGACATAAGATAAACGGGGATAAGTATCGAGCATTTGAAATTGCAGAGATGTCTGGTACTGCTGCATACTATGAATAACTTTTATAACGTAAACTATATTGAGATGTATGAAACACGTATCGCATTTCTTTAACTTATTTTAAGCATTTATTTATATAGCATAACAAAAGCTAAAGATCGAATAGGATCTTGCCTTGAAGATATCTTAAATTTTTATATATCACTCCAAATATAACAGCTTTTTACAAAATGCATATGAAAGTATATAGGGTTATAGGGTATAACAAAACATGATTTTTTTAAAATCTTGTCTGTCTGTCTGTTTGTTCCGGCTAATCTCCGAAATGGCTGGACCGATTTTGACGAGAATTTCAGTGGCACATAGATGACGTTATAAGAAGTAACTTAGGCTACTATTTTTATTTACTTTTATTTTAAAAAAAACATTAGGGTTCCACGCAAAAAATTAAAACCTATAAAATATAATCACAATAAATTCCACGCGGACGAAGTCGCGGGGAACAGCTAGTGTAAAGATAAAATGTATTAATAATTCAACAACAGCACCAACAATGGGTCCAGATTTTATGATTTTTTTGACACTAAACCTACATAATATATCGTGATTATCAGTAATTTTGTTCCATAAATAAAAAAAATTGTGATTCTTAGGAAAAATGGTAAAAACAATTTTATAGATAATTGCACAATCTATGTTTCTGGCCTAATCATGATAAAACTTACCGTTTAGCTGAAAAACGCCAGTAATTCATTTTTGCGAACTTTGACCTTGAACTATTTTTTGTAGATGCTGATTAAGAAGATATCAATTTCTTACCTGACCAGCACTGGCGAAACAAGCGAGGAGAAAGAGTTTCATGGGTAACTTTGCTTTGTAAGCTTTATGGGTCCATAATCGATGTGCACCACCCGTGATACCAAAACCGCTCAAAATATACATGATAGAAGCTGCAAAATTTTGGATTACTTACGTTATTTAACAAAAAATATATGTAAATATAGTATTAAAATCACATAAGCTTTACCGAAAAATACTGTCTGCCATTTTACAGGTAAACTGTAATGGTAACACCAATAAATTGCAAGTATGTGATATAAAACTATTGGAACAGCACTCGCCCACTTTATTTTATTTTTAAAGCCGAATTGTTTTTCAAATGCACACAAAATTTCACTTAAAGATACTGACGACGTTTTATTCACCTTTTCTGACATATTTTTTACACGGTCGGATCGTAATTACACACATTGTGGTCATACTTGGAGTTTAAATAAACAATTGGACATACTATGTTGTAAGGGGATATCGTCACGAACTTACGAAATGCTTAATAGATTCTCATGACCCATATGTTGCATGAAAAGGTGTCTTAATCAATTTCCAAGACAATTAACTTGCTAATTGAAATCGAACTCATTTTATTTATAATTTTACACTTTACTTCTGCTAAAAACTCATTGACGGTTTTTAAAGTAGGCTGTAGAATTGTGATCGACGTTTTAAAATAGCGGAAAATTATGTAATAAATAAAAAATAAAACAATAATGATACCTTCATTAATTTTATTCATCATTATCGTTCACGCACGCGAAGAAACGTCTTGATCCGAATTAGTTATTTGTAATTTGCTGCAAACATATGCCATAATATATCAAATGAAATGAAATCAAATATCTTTATTCATGTAAATTTTAAACAAAGCACTTATGAACGTCAACATATCATAATAGTTTTAATTGTTATTTAGTGTTCACTCTATGTTCGCACAGAGAAAATAGCTACGACAAAATACATACGTATTTGGCAAATTTATGTTAAGTATAACTTATAAAATTTATCCACTTTGAAAATGAGATTGTATAATATGTGTTAAACTGGGTGTCATTGAGACCAAGCGTCTTTAGCTACAGGGTGGTCATTGACTGTGTAATATGATTTCTTTATGACTGACACTTTTACGTATCTTTTAAAAATATTTAAAGGTCAGTTGACTTTCTATTTGGGTATGTTATTGAAGAAGCTTACACATTGTCATGCAAAGGAGTTACTTACTTTCTTCGGTCTTAAAGAAGGACCCACTAATTTATGTGATTGTTACTTTTTATTCTAAGTAATGAAATATTTTTTTATATATAAATAATGTTCCAATAGTTATATCGCGAAACTACAGTCACTATGTTAATTTCTTTAAGCAAATCGAAGACTCTCGTCAGGTTAAATTGTAAATTGCTCGAATAGCTTTTTTTGAATGACAAATACACTTTCAAATTCCGATGATTTGCTAGAGAAATGTATTCCATATAAAAATAGACTATGAAAATGTCTGAAATAGACTAGTTTTGCAGTATCGATGTAGCTTAACTGCCTAATTTTTCTTGTAGCAAAAGCCGCTGTACACAATTTTTTGTTAAGTGAAGTGATAAACAAAATCATATAATCAAAATCACATCATAACAAAATTTTTAGGAATTATTCTAGAGAATAATATCTAGAGTAATTGCTAAAAGTTTTGTGGACTGTACAATATCTAATTTGGTGTTGTGTAAAATTATATTATAGTCAACGCTAATTTGGCAAACAGAATTTGATACATTTAGTGTTTTTTAGGATTAAGTGCTAAATTACTTTTTGTAAACCAATTTAATACTCGCGTGTTACATATACTCACCGAGACCTTGTAAGCAGTCAGGAAGTCATCTACCATACGTCACCGCCTGCTAAGCAAATAGCGGCACTTCTCAAAAGACGTGGCTCAATTTACTTACGTGACTTAAGAATGTTCAACATAGTATAAAACCCGGAGTTTGATTGTTAAAATGGCCTAGTAGTAGTTAAGATTGTTTGTAAGTTAGGTAGTCTAGTATTCCTGTGAACTCATATTGTCACAGTAGTTAAGTTAATTTATAAGTTAGGTAGTCCATTACACCTGTGAAGTCACATTGTCACAGTAGTTAAGTTAACTTGTAAGTTAGAAAATAAAAGTAATATAGGAAAAGTCTTCGTCTTCGTTCCACTTGTCCTCCTCAATCTCCCTAAGCTGCTGCGAACACAAGTCGTGTAAGAGTATTGTTTGCGTCGTCAAAATGGTGTTTTTTTTGTCAATCTTCTAAACTAGAGATGTATCGTAAGCAAAAAATAAAATGTCACATTCATTATGTAACCCGATCGAGCCTTGCGGAACGCCTAGTATTATTTTAGAATGTTGTCAGTTAACACCATTCACTTCCACTATATGAGTTCCCTCGCTAAGATATGACGCGATTAATTTGAAAGCCATATCGTCAACATGGTAGTGATTTAATTTCAGAAGAAATGTAGCGTGGTCAACACAATCGAATGCTTTGGATAAATTGCAAAAAACGCCTATCGCGTTCTGTGGAATCTCCCACGTTGTCTGTGATTGTATTTGTATCAGTGATGAGCCATTATCAGTTGTCGATCTGCCTTTTACATAGCCATATTGCTTTTCAAGTAATTCATGTTTTTCAAACTTTTTTATGGAAAAAACTGTAACTGGCGTAAAGTTTGATGGATCCTCTTTATTCCCTGATTTGAATAAACGGCTCCGTAGCACAGTGGCTTAGCAATTGAGTTGCAGCGCTTAAGGACCGTGGGTGCGAATCCCGCACGGAACAAGTATTTGTATAGCCTACAAATTGTTCCGGGTCTGATGTTTGTCCTTGTGCAATTTATGTTTGTAAACTGCCTCCTCGATACAGGAGAAGATCCTAGTGTAGAGGATACGTTTACCAAAATAAAAAAGGTACTATTTTGCCTTTTTTACTTTAATAACAGAAATAAATATTTTCACTGAAAAACCCCATAAGTCCCCAGTTTTCTTCATATTTAAAGATTTAAAAAATGTAGTATAATTTAGTCATCTATGGGATTGAAACTAAATGTCTGACTACTTTTTGCTTTATAGATTTGCAATACTTGTATCCCATCGGAACATGATGGTTTTAGAGATTCTGTTGACTGAGAATAGTAGAAAACAAATAACTAAATGCGTTAGCATAATCAAAATTCTAAGTAACTAGGCGATCATAAAAAAAAAAACAGAACTTCTTTTCTGTATGCTTAAGCCATATAATACTCTTCATCTTATATAAAGAAGGATTTATCATCATCATTATCATTACAGCCCTTCACAAATCTACTGCTGAACATAGGCCTCCCCCAAAGAATGCCACAAAGTACGGTCCTGAGACACCTGCATTTATCAACTACCTGCATGTCTTACCAGGTTGTCACTCCATTTAGTGAGGAGCATCCTCCCACTTCACATACTGCCACTCAGGAACCTTGCTATCCGCAGTAGATCCAGAGTAACCGACATAGCCCAACGGATTAGTAAGCAGAAGTGACAATGGGCCGGCCATATAGCTCGAAGGACGAACAAATAAGGATTAATAGATTTAAATAGCGGATATTACTTTTCTAATTAAGATTGCCTTAAGCGTGATTGACTGTTCAGATCTACTTTCGAAGTATATATTAAACTCCTAAAATGTTAGACCAAACGTCCCACTATCACTACCCGCGGTTAGGACAAATTATAGGCAGAATAGCTGTATGTACAGTGTGAGCAAGCTCAATCGTTGAATTTAGACCTATTCAAGACAAATGTAAATTCAGCGAGAGTGAGAGTAAGCCATTTTTTGACTCAGGTTCATATTTTTATTTTATTTTGTTGACCTGTAAAGGTTAGTTTAGTTTATTATTGTGCGATGTTAGAAAGCTAAGGTTACTAGCATTTACCGCATGCAAATATTTATACAGGGTTATTTTTCAAAGAGTAGCCAAATTTTAAACTTAAGTTCAAACATATTAATAATGAAACACCGTTATTGCATTTTCTGAAAATATGAGTAAATAAGGCTTCTACTTTTATTTAAAATTATCCCAAATTGAATGTCATTTATGGGCAACAGTGTTTTTGCCTACCGATCGACCCTTAAGAACGTGTGCATAGAAAAATCAGTTAAAATAATGCATTAACACGCATTTTGGATTTAAAAGATAGAAAAGACAGAATCTTTGAAATTGTTTAAATTAATTTTTCTTCACCATTTGCCTATATTACCTTCTCTGCAAATTTGGCCGGTTATTGAAAAATAAGCCTGTATATTGTTACTTTTTGCGAAAACCCATATTTGGTTTCCCGTAGCTTAATTACTATCTACCTACTCTGTTTATTGTAAAAATAAATAAATAAATATCTGTACTTGAACTATGAAGGTTTAAAAGTTTAGCACATTATATATTCGTGTACACAATTAATGCATTGGCAACCACATAACATGACTGTTTGTTTGCAGAATCGGTTAATCCAGCCATACTTAACCTTTTTTTTATAGAGGCCACAAACACGTTACGAGGTGTTTGTAGCCCCTGAGGTGAACACGAGGGCCGCAAGTAAAAATTATTTAGGTCTTAATTAAAAATAATTCCAAGTTAACGATATATTTACTTTATTAATGAAAAACGAAGTTGTAACGAAGATGTTTATATCTTTCAATGCGATTTTTGATACTGTGAACACTTTTTCAAAGATCTGACTAGTCGCTACATGCTATCCTTATTACATCATCCAGATGAGAATCTGTAAGTTTGTTTCTGTACACGTTCTTTGTCGAGACGATTCGCACACATACGTAGACTCAAAGAATGTTAGTAGTATTTGGGCACGTCTTTGAACACTTTTATATTTTTGAGGAACAATACGCCGAAATTTCACATATTCTCTGTTTATCCTTCTTTATTTAAACATAACTTTTAGATTGGTGTCGTTTTAAAAACGGATGAATTCTTAAAACAACTCTGAGGAATTACAATTCAAAACTGAAGCCAACTCTGAGATAGTCGTTGTTTCTAAATGCCATGGATTTTCTATAAGTAACAAACTTTTTTACTTTTCTTAGATCTTGAAACCTTTTTCGTTTAAAAGTTGTATAATTTGAAATTATGGAACAGTTTTCTTCCGAAATGTTGGAACCGTTCTCTGTGAGAGAAACGAGCATACGGCTCACCTGATGATAAGTGACTACCGCCGCCCATGTACAACTGCAACACCAGGGGAATTGTAGTTGCGTTGCCTGCCTTTTAGAAAGGAGTACCTGTTCTTGAAGGTCCCTAAGTCATATCGGTCCGGAAAAATCGCCGGTGGTAAGCTAATCTACAGAGAGGTTGTACGTGGAAGAAAACTCCTAAT